TGCTGAAAGTTTATTAAGATACTTAGAAGACAAAGATATCAATTTATGTTGCATTTGTCTGATTGTGAATCAAAAAACACATATATTGAAACGCGTTTGCGATTTAAATCAATATAAATGTTTATATTGTAACGCATAGGTGACTATTCATTGTTATTAAAATGACTTAAATTCGATCATGTTGTGATATTTAGAAATATAAATGTGTTTGGTGCGAGTGAAGTTTTATTTAATCTCTGACCCAGGGAATAGTTTTATTTTTTCAAAGAAATGTTTGTTAAAAAAAAAAGTCACGGCTCTGGCTGGATTTGAACACCCAACATGTGATGTGTGAGTCGGGAACCTAACCCACAGCATCACTGGCAAGGTCACATGAGGAGTGTTTAAAAAAGCCCTACAAAAACATTATCAACAGATAATGTACAGTGTGTACTATTCTTGTGTTTCGGTACATGAATATAATTATATCATTATTAATTTCTTTAGATACGCGATTCCATATTATATTCCCTTTTAATCAAATTCTAAAAGTATGCTTGTTGACTCCGGTATCACGTTAGTTAAAGACTTCGATGCTTAAAATGTTTAGGGAGAAAATGTTTAGGGTGTGTATTTTTTCTTTAAAGTACCGAGACCATCCATATACTGTATGTTTATGTTCCAAAATTAATATCGTTTATGGCCTTCACATACGTTACAGTATGTTCCTATTCTTTTTATGCTCAGCTACTAAGATTTCCCTTCAGTGGTAAAATTCCATATAAATATTCAATACTAAAACGGGCACAGTAAAGACATTTAAATCTTTCTACGACTGACCAACGAACCATGAGTGCCCCTGTCGGTCAACCAATCACGTACCCACGATACGTGTCTGTGCCGCATACTTTGAATGGTTGCATCTGTATATTTAAACTTAATACTGTTAAGCATACTGTAGGAAAGATGAGACATAGGTCTACTGTTTCTCTGATGAGAAGTTGAATATTTCCTGCTGGTGGTCTAGTCACCTTGTTTCCTCTCACACTTCACAGCACAGCCCAGGATGAGCTGCAGGAGGCGGCCCAGTTCCACAGGGTCCGAGTGCTCAGCCACCAGATTCAGATCCGGCAGGGTAAAATCCGAAATCTGCTGCCCCAGCACCTGACACAAATTAAACAACAATAAACTATACTAGTTTCACAGGAACCATAACTCCTGAATAAACTATACAACAGGCCAGTCAGTCAACTGGCAGAAGAACCATACTCTTGCAGAATGAGCAAGAGATAGCAGTATCCCTCACTACAGGTTTATGAACATAGTTTAAAGAAGAGGCTAGAGCAGCAATTACCTCATTGTAGTAATCGACTATCATCTGAAGGATCTTCTTAAGGTTGCTCACCTGAGTTAAAAACAGAAAAGCACAACAGTCATGTTTTCTGAATTAAATTTGCTTCTGAATTGCTTCCTGGACTGCAGTTTACTGTGCCGTCTTAAAAAAAAAACTGTTCAAACCCCTTACAGGAGCAGTTCATAATATCTTTCATTTTGTGCCATGGTACTGTGCGGACTATTTAAATGAATTTTCTGAACTGTTGTTCAACTACAGCCAAAAACTAACAACATTTTGCTATGAACTTCACCACAAGTGGCAAATGCATTGTATAGTGGTAAAAAGTCTACTAAAAAATGTTGGACAATGGTTCTGAGCCCATGACCCTGAATGTACAATACCATTTTGTACCTTCAGTCTCCAGTTATCACCCACATCTTCCTTAATACGACTTAACCAGCCCTCACTGAACCATGCAGGGTCTCTGAAATTTAAAACCAGAACCAATTTCAATACTTAAAAAAGGAGAACCAACTGTATCTTCTTAATATACAATTGCAAGAAAAAGGTAACATTATCAACTATAACTATTACATATCACAAAAACAAATATGTCCAAAATAAGTGCAGATTTTTCAAACTTCAAATTAAATTATTCACACCCCAGCAATCTTTAGTTTGTTGATCCTCTTTTTAGCATTGATAACATAAAGAAGGTGCTTTCTGTAGCTTTATAATAAGTCAAGCTATCCTCAGAAGGAATTTTCCATGCACAGAGTTCAGTTTACAGAACTTGCACTTGTAAACTGCCTTCTTTAGTTCATACCACAACCCTTCTGCTTATTTCTATTTAACTGAGGTCTAAATCAGTATGGAAGAAAAACAGACTGATCTCCATACAAAGAGAACATTTTTTCCCAACACAAGCTTTACCTTGTTCTGTAAATCATACAGCTGTCCATTCAAATCAATTTTGTTTCCTCCAACCACATCACTTCAGGTTCCATTTGACTTTTAGTTGATACAGTACGTGACATATTTGTATTTTTATGCTGCCAAAGAGGTCTACTGCAGACACCTGATTCGTGACACTGATCTCAAATGTTAGTCTTGGAGATATTATATACTGATGATGCCCTAGTTCTTTTCTAAAGCCTGGGAGTGACATACTGTAGCCTCCCAGATCGAATCTGACTGTATATTATATTAAAACTTTCATATGTCTTCCTGTTAGTGTAGTAGCAACCTTTCCTGTAAATACCTGGATGATAAACATATTGTTTCTTTTTTGAGTGTTTTGTTTCTGTCCTCTGCTTCCTTTGATACCCAATGGCAATCAAACTTGTATAAACTTTTTAAAGCTGTTTGACCACTAAAAATATAAGAGGACTAATTTCTTCGCATTGATTTTCCAAATATTTGCAAGCTATGAAACAAACTGAACAACAGATATTTAGAAAAATGTACAATAACTTTGTAGACTTCTCATGATGTCCAAATACTACTAGTTTAAAATTGTACAATCCATTTACAGTAGACAATAAATACCAAATGTACAACTACTCAAAAATGTAAAAAGGTGCATGCTTTTTTTCAACTAATATGAAAATGGTATCTAATGATTGCAAACTAGGCCCTTTAATTGTCGACTCATTAATCTATCAAAACAAGAACAAATTGACCAAGAAAGCTGATGAGCTGAGGCTGTGAACTAAACTCTGCATCTTCCCTAGTACAAATGCTCTACCCAACAATTTCACACTGGAATAAGATTCAAGAAGGAAATACCTTAACTTCACAGAAAACAATGCAGTAAAATTATACAGCATCTACCTTGATTTAGGAACAGTACAAAACTTACATCTGATTAAGAGCTTGAGACATTGTGACCCCACTGGTGAGGTCCTGCACAGCCTTACATGGGGAGGGAGTGTTAAAGGTCTGCAACTGAGAAAAAAATATGAGAAAAAACTCAATTGAAAAAGGTGAAATATTATTTTTACAGTAGTTCACTCATAGTGGAATTACAAGTTTATAAAAAAGTATTGTGAAGTTAAATATATATACAGTATACAGTATATGCAAAAACAAATGGGAAATTTGAAATTAAGAAACTTAGAGATTAACCACAAATTATTATTTTCATAAAATCCTCTTGTCCTACACAGATAACAGAAGGCAATTTCATCACACTTCCCCTCATAGAACACGTAAAACTACAGTAAACAGCAATACAAGAAACTTTTAAAACATTGTAAAGATACTGTAATATTTTTCTCTAGAAACAGCTGTCTCATCCACAGGAATTAATATAAAAAGGATACAGTATATGCAAAGCCATCTACAAGATGATTTTATTTAAAATTTCAAAAAATATATTGCTTGCCGAGATAGGATCTTGATCTGTGATCCTGAATTGGTTGAATCAGTATAAAACGGATGTATGGGATGAAGAATCTTTTGTTTTCTCATGTAGCTTAGGACATAACCGTAGCCTGTATCTTCAAAGCTTGTGTCCCAGATCCAAAGACATCAACTGTAATTCAAGATGGCGTCACACAAAGTGAATACACAATGCACTCACTGTGAAAAATAATCAGAGTGCAAATTCGGTTGTGACTGTGCCAAGAAGTGTTTGTAGTGAGTTTCAAGTTCAGTGTGAACTGACAGTTTTCTGCAAGACCTTTTTGACATCAGAGTTCTTTCTACAAAGCTCTCTCAATAATGGAAGATGGATTTAGCCACCAATATCGCCTGGTCTATGCCATGCAACTTTGAATCCATGACCGAAAGATTAAGAATTACAGACCACACTTTTTTATTATGGAGAACACATAGGGCAGTAAGTGAATAAGTTTATTCAATTTCATCTGACATGCATCAGAATGCATTGTTGCATTTGTTTACTTGTGGAACGTGATTGATAGAGGGTTCGGATTTTCAGTGTCAAAGCATAATTTCCATCCTAATTGGCTGTATCCTTCTGTACCCATGTACAGTACCCATGAGATATTATAATGTACATTCTTTGCAAATAGCGTCTAAAGATCTACTCCATTATTACAAAACATTGTTAAAAGGATTTATGAGGAATGTATTAAATGAAAGCCCTTAATTGAATAAAGAACCTAGGCTCCTTAAAATAACCTTTTCTATTTCATTTAGAGATCAATTTATCATTGAATGAAGCTTTAATATTACAGTGTAATTTAGGAGATGACTGCATTAGACATGCTTACTATATAAGGAACTGTACTGTCTGTCACCAAACTTTTGCTATACGGTATACACATTTTTATTTTGATTACACATATGCATAGTCAAGATGCAGTATATTTGAGAAGAATTTAATAAATTAAAAGTGCTACAGTGTAAACCTATCACCATGCCTGAATAATAAAAAAACATTGTTTTGTACAAAAGACAAAAGGGTATTTAAAAAATATGTAAAGGAACAAGTAAAGGTTTATTCCATGTTGAAAATAGAAGAAAAGAAACACAACGTTTCAGCGGTGGAGCCTTCTTCGGGTCAAACCCCGTAATAGGTGTTAACTGAGGACAGAGTGGCAAAAAATATTACTACAAAATATACATTTTTATACTATATATTTTATACTATAGAATATAACTACATATCTAAAGCCTCTTTGCGTAATCAAAAAATAAAAAAAACATTAGAAAGAGACGGACTGACAGCACACATTAATAAAATTTTACTTTAACCCTTGTAAAACCTGTTTTAGTCACTAACCCCAAAAGCCATTTAATATACACGGGTTTAGCTAAAAATTGAAATGTAACTTCTGCAGGTTTCAACATAGCTGTGAAACAAATGTATGACACATTATAGATCTGATCAGAACATTCTCTTTGAACATGTATCAAACAAGAATAAATAGATCCATTTACAAAAAATGGCATATCTTAAAAACAAACAAGGTTTCCATGTACAGAGTGGATTCAGAGTTTTTGTTAAGGTTTAAGCAACACAGCTGAACTACTTGTACAATACTATACTTCAGCGTTGTTCTAATACTAGTGATGCATGAGCGTAATAGACAGTAAAAGCCTTATAAAATACAATAAAAATCAAGGCTTATTAACGAAAGTAGCTTTACAAGACTAGAAATAAGAGTGGCAAATGAGACAGACACATATACAGTACATTCATGGATGGACAGACAAGTTACTTACGCTAATATTAAATTACACACAATCACAATCTGAAGGTAGAGGCCAATGTTGTATTCAAAAATAAAAACACGAGATTCAGTATTCACTGTGCACGTGTACAAACATCGCAACTGCGGACTGAACCGGAGACGAGATAAAATCGGTGGAAGAAATGAAATCAAGACAGTGGCCATAATAATGAATCTGCGCTATATAAGAGTCATCTGGCACCCTCACCAGGATTGCAACAATAAAAAAGAGTGATGGATGCATTACTGCTGCTACACAATTGATAAAATAAAGAAAAGATCCACAGTTATCGAAGGAAATACGATTTTCGCTCTTGTAGAACTGATGAGATATAGGTAGTTGAGGAGAGCAAGAAATAAAAATATTTAGCTATTTTGGTGTCGCCTTAATCAGCTCTAGTATGGAGAACGCTTATTTGTCCAGCTCTTTCCTAAGGGGTTCAGTCTACTGTTCCATCCTGCTACCTGAGCCAGGTGAATACTACCCACACACCACACATAAGATGTCACTCTGTCACAGTAACCACAAAATCACCGAGTTAGGTGCCTTACAGCATTTATATACATGCAGAATTAACTTACCCATTTTATAAGGCTTTCGCATAGTACTGTTTTATTTACTTCCATTTCTTCCTGTCGTTATACGACCAAAATTTTCCGTTCACCTGCCAATAGTCCCTTTCCCCTTTACACTGCCTTTGACCTCACATGAGCGTATTTTTTTCTCAAAGAAAACAACGTAAATTCTCCTTGCTCTCTGGGTACAGGGATCCTGGACTTTCCTACATTGCTTACGGGAATGCACACTGAGCGCAATATGCGTAGTACCCTGCGGAGAAGGATAGGGAATGACGGGGTAAAGAACCAATTACAGGGGAAAGAAAATACCCAATGGTGGCCTGAGTTTCAAGTGCTGAACACCACTCAGTATTTAGTTTAATTGATTGACAGCGCTGTGTTGTTTTGAAGGCCAACCGCGATTCTGTGTAAAGGGACTGACTCTGTCATCCACGTATAATATACAGTAGGTCCTGCAATAACACAGGTGGCCTCTGGAGTCACGCAATCCGAAGAATTCTCGTTCTCTTCGTCTTCGTGAACTCACTTTAGCTGATTCTATGACCTGTTCGCTGGGCACAGAAATCCCCTATTAGTCACGTGTTGCACTGCAGTTATTAAGGTCTAATGCTTACATCTAGGAGTGCTCTTTGAAATGATGCTACGAAATGTAATGTAATTCGTACTAACAATATTACGAAATAACTCTGAAAGTGTTGAAAAAAGCACAGGCAATTTATGATGCATTTTAGTATACTGTATAATTTATACAGAGGTGAGTGATGAAATTCTCTAATTAAAGTAAAAGTTCATAGAATTAAAACATGCCTGGAGCTTTACTGAATGATTGACCAGACATGAAAATGTAACAACACCTTACTGTCATAGCTTAATCAAATATCTGAGCAGCTGATTGGGAGGTACTTCATCAACCTCTGAAAATCCAGTTTGATAGATTACTAGAACAATAGTTTTAGCCATTTTGTGTTTTTGTTTCTTGTTCTCTTTTACTATCATGCTCATGTTTGTGATTTGTTGTACACCACGCTCTTTAGGCTCAGGTCTAATGTGTCTTTTGCCTTTTTGTTTTTTAAAGTCTGTGTCCTGTGCAGTGAAAGGAGTCTACAGTATTATCTCACAACCTGCCTTCTTGTGGAGATGAATAAGTATGCCTTACATTACCATTTATATGCCTTCCTATTAAGAATTATACAACAAGACAGAAAAATGCTATACTGTACATTGAATCTCAAGTAATGAAGTAACTCTTTATTGCAGACATGGTTTGCCATTCTGCATCATTAAGACGCTAAATCAGAAACAGACCAGACTAGAATTAGGGAGCTTGACATAAACAGAATTTAGTATTTCTATTAATTACTTGTGTTGCTATATACTGCTTTTATCTCTCCCCATAATATCAAAATGCAGTGCTTAGGTTAAAAAGAGCTAAGATGCTTAATCCTGGTAAGAGCATGTAGCACATGCATGGCAGAGTACAGGAGTCAGCACAAAGCTGTCTTTTTCATCCACTTAAAAACAGTTTGTGACCACTGATGCATGCCTGACTTTTAAGCAACTCCAAGCTAATGCGTTGCACAAAGTGACTGCTCAGACTCGGCAAAGTAAACAAGGCTTAAGTGCCAAGGCCCTAGAAACCCAGGTGTCTCTAACAGATTTGTCTCATGTTACATTACAGTATATATACAGTTTAAAATGGAACACTGCATGGTAAAATTTTGATTATGTTGTAAAATCTAATTTCATGAATAAATATAGTTTATGTAAATCTTGCTGTATATGGCTCATAGTTTCCCTGTATGTTTGCCATATTATCATGTAGTTGACAACCTTTGTTTTAGGAACACGTTATAGGTTTATTCCATGCTGAAGTAGTTCAGGTGGGTAGCTTTGTTTTAATCTGTTTTAATCTGATGATTAAAGTAATAATTGTCCAGTTCCTCCAACAATGTGTGCAGTGCAGCAGGAAAATATTTAAGACTGACAAATCCCTTCAAACCTCAAAGAATAAAAGTCACAATCCAATTCAGTCTTACATACTGTACTGTATAAAGAAATTAACCTGAGGTTTTTGACCAACTGTGCCTACATTAGACAGAAAAAAGAAAGCAGTATTCAAACAATTCAAATTAAAAAGCAATACAATTACAATCAGGTTACATAATGTAAATTGAAAACTACAATCATTTTTCTATGCTTTCGTCTTAGTTTATTCAATTTTTTACATCATGTTTCCTTGTCATCCTGTTAAAATTATTTAACTTATGAAAAGAATGAAAGTATGTCCTTGGAAGATGCAGAAACGGATGGTAAATGTTCATGACTTAGTGTATAGAGATTTACACATACTGTACTGTCGGCATATTCAAAAGAAAGACAGACACTCAGTCACTAGGTAATATAATGACCATGTGTACGTTCTTCCATATTACTGTATGTACTTTACAAAGCCATCAGTCATATTTCAACCTATGAGAAAATAAGTTAGCTGTTAAGGGAGTGATGCAGCTTTTATTGATAACACTGCAAGCTCAAAAGTTTCTGCTGAGTAATCAGAATTACTGTTTTATAAGCCAAAAAAAAAACTAAATAGGCCTTAGGTGATTGCCAATCACTGCTATGGCAGTCTCAATCACAGTTGGCTAATGAGACATCTCATTATGGTTAATATCTAAACCATACAGGTCACCCAGCAATTCATATAGGAGCCTCAGTGCTTGACAAGTGACTTGTCTGCAATCATTTAAGATTACAAAATGACAAAAACCTTTTGTCTATCATTTTTTTCAGTTTGCCAAATCTGCATAGAGATGGTATATACCAGTATATATTGTGTATAAAAAACAAGTATGCCACACAGAATAGCCAGAATAGCCATCCAATAACATTTAGAAATGTAAAACAAAATTAAATATAGATCTTACTAATAAGTAGTTTGAATAATAAGGCTAGTCACCTTAAATAGCAACATTCGTTTTAACAACATACATTTTTTATCATTATTTCCCAATTTCAGTGTTGAAGGGGGTGGCGGACCTTTATTGTTTCAGGAAAGACAGCAAATTTGATAACCCAAATCTTCAATTAACTGTTTATACATAACCTTGATAGTCTGGCCTTGGTTTCTTTCCTATTTTAAATCCAAGCAAAATTGCTAAAAGACACTGTGTGGACATTGGATTAGGTCCATCAGTGTATCAGAAATAGAATGGTAGTTCATTTACTTTTTTTTCAAGGACTAAAACGTGTACTACCTTGTACAATGATGCCAAATTTCAAGGCCATGCAAAATATGAGATTTGTAGTTAGGTACTGTGACACTTGTCATATATAGTCATATACGGTATATCATAATCCAACACATATCACAGTTTGATTTAAATATCTCCAAAGATATAAAATATAAATGAGTATTTAAATACACATTAATAGATTAATTCTGCTACAGAATTTAGCAGTTTAGGTAACTAGGAAAAATAAATTAAGCAATATACTGTAGCATTTAATTAAAAATAAATTATGAAGGATTATAAATTATGAAGTGTGTTTGTACACTTTTGCCCTATTGAGATTCTCAAGACTTATGCTTATCCTCTTTGCTCAAACTGGGCTCTTCAGAGTGCTGTAATGTGGGATGTTTAGCTTTTCAAAGAAAAGGCTTGGGGAACAACCTCTGAAATATTAATTAGTCTGAGTCACCACAAACAGCAAATCAAGATGTACATTAGATCACTGCATTATCCCACCCATCCATCCTCACAAAATACAGTATTTCGACAGTCTAAATTCTGCTTTTCATTATTTTTTACACTGTTCCACTCATAAGACCCTGTTTGAAGAAACCCGCAGCAACATTTAGGATGTTCCAAGACCCTATGTTAGCCAAACACAGTGATCTGAGAAAGGAACAAGTAACGGTTTATTCCATGCTGAAAAGAAAACAGACACAACTTATCAGCTGTGGAGCCTTCCTCACACCATTTGTTCTCTTTGTAATAATAATTCCTTGCACTTATATAGCTCTTTTTTGGACACTCTACTCAAAGCACTTTAATGGGGTCTCCCCTCCACCACCACCAATGTGCAGCATCCATCTGGATAATGCGACAGCAGCCATAGTGCACCAGTACACTCCCCACACACCAGCTCTCAGTGGGGAGGAGAACAGAGTGATGAAGCAAATTCATCCAAGCCAATAGATGGGGATTATTAGGAGACCATGATTGGTAAAGGTTGAAATGCCCTGGGAGTTTTAATTACCAAAGAGAGTGAGGACCTCATCTCATCCAAAGGATAGCACCTTTTTACAGTATAGTGTCCCTGTCACTATACTAGGACATTAGGATACAGACCGCATGGTGAGCACCCCCCCGCTGTCCCCAATAACACCTCTTCCAGTAGCAACCTTAGATTTCCCAGGAGGTGTCCCATCCAGGTACTGGCCAGGCTCATACCTGCTTAGCTTGAGTGGGGTGCCAGTTGAGTTGCAGGGTGATATACAGTAGCTGCTGGTGAGCTTTACTTGTTCCTTTGTAGCCTACACATGCTGACACAGATTCCTATGTACATGACCTGAGAAAGTCTAACAATGTTAAGAGATTGGGAGTGCAGATATTTCTATTGTTGGCATTTTTATTGAAGAAATGCAGAAATACAATCAAACTGAGAAGATACAAGATTAAGAGAAGTGCAGGGATACACAACCTTTATACTGTTTCATTGAATACTTGTGTAGGGATGCAAGAAGGCACAGCAGTGTTCAGTACTGTTTTAAGGTAAGTTTAATAAAATAATGCCATTTGAAAAACAGGCATAAATAGTGTCATATTCTGTTCTAAAAACTAGAATCACTTACAGTGTATTTTATAAACCAAGCAAAGCCATGGTCAATCTCTTGTGTTGCCATAAAGCTGCATTTAGGACAAGGACACTGAAAAGTTTTGCATTCTGTATTTTAACACAGAATGTAAAGGACATACAGTACAAGTACAGGAATGTTTATAACACCAACATAGAATATAAATTTTGATTGCCAGCTGTTTAAAAATGTCACATACTCTTTCTTCTCAGTTAAATAGAACAGCCTTCTTTATCTGCCTGCATTCTTAATATAAACAAACTAGAAAACTCAAACACAGTAAAGTGAATTAGTTGTGCCTGACTTGGGAATTAATGTAAGCTTCTAGGTTTCAGGAGTCTAGCTGCAGAATGACTTTACAGTACAGCAACATGTGCAGTGCAGAATATGCCTTTTTGGTATGGTTGAATAAAACTAAATCTTTTGCATAAAAATCATATACTGTACCATATAAAACCATAACCTCAAGTTAATGACGTTTGAGACTTTAAATTATTCTGAAATCTATTTTTACTGTGCTTTTACCTACTGATTTACTATTGCACCACAAATTAAGTTTTAAAAAATGATTTTATTTATTGAAAGGGGATAATAGTAAAGATTTAAATATGGGGCTGAGAGCTCCATTGTGCAAACTCCCAGTAAATTATTGTCAAGATACATTGATTTCCTGAACCTAACCTACTTTCAAAAGCAGCCAAGTTTTCCCAATCTGATGAGGTGACCTTGTCTGGGTCACATGACCAAAATAGGGCTTCAAAGGCTTAATGTAGCTATGCTTTGTGTTGGCAGGAGGTCCTATAGCCCTTGGTCATTCATTTACTGAGATATTAACATCATTATTGCTTTTTAAAATTATGTTCTTTTATAAATATGGCAAAATGAGCCTGGTCGGATATGGGAATGTAGAACATTCATCTGTGCGTCACTACCTAGTTGTTTCCTTAAGAGCCGCAGTTTATGAAGACTAGCTAATCATTAACTGAGTGTCAAATGAATTGTGGACAGTAATGCCGTCACTCTGCATTTCCTTGTCATTCTTCACAGAAGCAAGAGCTCTTTCGTTTCCTTTGGAATTATGTACACCAGCTGTTCAAGTTCAAACCCAAGGTAAGAAATGGCTCACACATTGTTAATATATTGATTGATTTCATGCTTTAAAAAAAATTGAGCTGTGTGACAACCACATAAGAACCTAATTCTGTGCTTGCTGGTTGATAGGCAGTAACAATAAAATACTTTATACTTGGCTGTATTGTATTTATACAGTATCTTAATGAACTGTAATTTATGTTTTAATATCCATTAAATTTAGACAAGAGTAGATAAATGCTATTGGTATACTGTAAAAACAATTTTATACTCTGATTTCATCATAACTTTACGGTAAACACAAAAAGGATTAGTGTACACTCACAGGTTTTGCACTGAAGCAGCTAATAGAAGTATACATCTTCTTTTTAATCCAACTGTCTCTTTTCTTTACTAAGCAAGCCTGTTCTATAATATCAGATTGAAGTTAGGTGTACAGAAATTATTTTATTTTCAGCATCTCTACTTAAGAATACGATGGTAATAGTTATAAGTAAAACATACATTTAAAACTTGATATACTGAATGTTTTTTAAATATTCCAAGTCAAACAAAAAACGTTTTTAAAAAGTAGGTTCAAACTCTTTATAACAATAAACAGACCTCTATAAAACATTATCCATGAAGAAATGTGTCTGTGTGGAATACTGGTTGGAGATTTAAAGTACCTGTAATTAAAAGCAGAGACTGTAAAAACATACAGCTGCCAGTGTCAAGTATGCTTTCACTTGTGAAGTCTAAATGAATGACAGAAAAATAGAATTTAGAGAACTGTTTGTTTTTGGCTTGTCATCTCTAAGCAAAAATCAATCTTGGGAAATGGACACAATTACAAAACAGAACAATTAAGGGTTTTCAAACACAATATAATCTGAAATATAAACATTTGGAGTGTTGATTTCCATTAAAATATCTTTCTTACAAACATTAAAAAATATGCATGTGACACAATTGGGTTGCAATTGTGCTGCTCAGTTCATGTTATTTACACTCTACAGGTACAGTTCCTTGCCAGATGTGGTCAACTGAGCTGAGCTCTTACTGAGAAGCACCAAGTATAAGTCCACACTTCGGCAGAGAATAAAACTGAATTGGCCACACCAGGCACAGTTCACATTCTCAATTACAATACATGGCATGAGAGGCCAATAAACGAATAACAAAGTATTTTAATTAAGGGTTGTTATAGAGCTTGATGCAGACACACTATGACTGTTTTTGTTTTTAACTAATAATTCCTTGACTATTTTGTGTCATTATAGACATTGGTAGATAAAGGTTTTATGGTATTCTTAAAAGGCTGTGCCAGGACTGGTTTGTCTTAGGTAAATCATACTCGTGTCAATTCTATTCTGTGTTTGACAGTAAAACAGAATCAGGATGAAAAATGGTTTTCAATCATGATCGTAACCTTGTCTTTCAGGCCCAGACTGAGGGTCCGAAGCAATGCATGCCACAGTCCAGGGTTTCAGAGGGAGAGACGCTGTTTTCCGCATATGAGCTATAAGGTGAAACAAAAGTCTCAGCCCAACCTCCATATCAATCAGCACTCCCATTTCTTATCACGTGCAGACACTTCACCCCCTTATACTGTGAACTGAAAAAAGGAACATTTCGAAACTCTGATGGCAAATACGTGTTAATAAACTCTGGTCTTATCTGATCTTAGAAAATATGTGTTAGTCTGTAGGTTTGGTGTCAGACATGTCTATGTGCTCATTTTACACTAGTGCTATACACTAACATTATTTTTATACAGTTATAGCAATCTCATCACTTTTTGTTCTTGTTCTAGAACTGTTGTCACGTGTCAATATGTTCAACAATATTATTATTACTCCTGATGAAGACCGCAAAGCCAGACAGAAGATAATAATTATGGTCAAAAATAAACTACTTCATCCATGGTCAAGATATTTCTGCACTGTACTATCTGAAAGTAAATGCAAAATTAACAATGTTACTCACTAGTATATAACAATGAACATTGTGATATCATTTTTTCAAGGAATTAGTTTGCTTTCAAATGTCTTAGCATAATTAGTATTATATCAACAGCTTTGATGGATTTTTCCAACTCCTCTCCAGGATTCTCATGGACAGTGTCGGCCCTGCAGCACCAAAGACCGGCACTGCCCAGTGTGTCTCCAGACTGCTGCATTCCCCGTGGAGACTAACTGCGGGCATCTGTTCTGTGGTACGTCTTGCCAGACTTGAGATCTTATAGCAATATGGAAAAAGTCAACTCACATATGGAACTGTGTCTGAAATGTTGTTAGTACTCAAAGTTAAAGAGGACAACTTTATGAAGATGAGAGATTAAATAGGAAAGTGCATCAATCATTTTTTATGAGAGGTACTGTATGACTTTGTGTCTATTAGCTTAATCCCTTACCATGAGTTCACATGTAACCTTATTAAGAGATTTCCTCAACCTACTATTGGTTTGTCAAGTGGACACAGCTCAAGAACAAAAAAAAACATTAAGTCTTTCTGAATCGCTGATGTTGTGTGCAAATGCAGTCAATCAATTACAATGAATGGATTTTGTCTGGTTGAGTTAGCTTAGTGACTTATGTGACATTTTCCTTGCTTAAGTGTGACCATAAAGTTTTTTTCCTCAGGAACAAATTAAATCAAGCAGTTTAAATGGCCTGTTTCGTAAAGGGATTACAATAGTTGACTGAAGATGTTCCTCTCCCGTTTTAATACTCCTGTATTTGGAAGTAAGGAATCATTTTAGGATTTTAACAAAACCTGCATTGATGTCAGTCTCTTTCACAGTCCAGAATGGACCTAATATATCTCCTAATACCTACAAGTGCTTTAATGCTTTTAAATTCTTTTTACTTAACCCTTACTTGGCAATTACAGGGAGTGCATTTGAAGTTGCTCTGTCACTTTGAGTAGTCAAGTTTGTACACAGAAGGGTAACTGGTTTAGTACACAGCTTAAAAAAGAAACAAATTGCATTTATTACAACCAAAGACAGACGTTTAGAGTCTAACAACATTACCCTCCTTCCTAACACACATACAGTACATCTGCACATTTTTACTTCTGAACCACCTGTGCTTCTCAATTGGATAAACATGCACAGCGCTCTTAGCTCATGAGATGGGTGAATAATTAAAAGCTTTCCTGACCTACTTTCTGATATTCAGGGAAAAGAAAAATCACTCTTCCACTGACAGTGACCCCTTTTAAAGAAATGAAATTGCACACCCACTAAAGCTAATTTACCGCTAACCATTTGACATCAATTGAAGTCAACACAGGAATACTAAATACAGACCCCTGCCCCAGACATGCAGGTCCAACGTGAGAGGTTAGGGAGACATTGTCACATCCACCGCTAATCGGAAGCCTCCTCACAAACGGCCTCGTCCCAGTTAAGCACCAGGTGGAGACAATCTCTGCAAACACTGCCAGTCTACCCCTCCATCCAATTTGTACACCTCACCTGTTAACAAACCCTCTACTTCCAGACTTACTTAAGCCTTCTGCTTTTCATGGAACAGCGCTCGGTAATGTTACAGTAGCTTCCTTGGAACTTTGTGTCTCGCATTACTTACTTCTTCTTGCCTTCTTTGGATACTCAACCTCGTCTAACTCTTCAGATTTGTCTGCTTCTCTCTCTATTCGGATAACCTTTGGTATGGAACCCAGAATTCACCCTCGACCACGTCTCGTCCAAAAATTTTGGACCCGTCAGAAAGCTCTCCTGCCTTGGCTCCCCAGCTCTGCATAGGGTTCTTCACTCAAACAATAACGCGGCCTGTTACAGACATAGAAGATACACCAAAGGGAATGGCAACATTGAACACTGAGGAGCACTGATTCTAACAAATCTCCAACTCTCAACAGGAGCACTTCAGAATTTCACGATCTCTACCCTTGAATCAATACCTTATCAATAGAAACTCACTGGCCTAAGGACAGAAGTCTGTAGCCTTGGTCCTGGCAAGCAGTGATTTTATTTTTACTATAGCTTAAAAATGTAAAATTTACAAATTGGTACTTAAAGGTTTTCCAGGTCACTGTATTAATTAATTATTTAAAACAACCTAAACATGGGAAACAAACCTGCAGCTCTCCAGGACCAGAAACTGTTTAGGAATGAGTCCTAAAATTACAACAGAAACTCACTGGCCTAGGGCAGGGGTCTAGTCCTCATCCTAGACATCCCAAATGTTATTCAGTTTTACAGCAGGTGAGCACTTCATACTTGGGAATATTTACTTAAAACTCTAAATATGATTTAACTCTCATCCTTTTCCTGCATTCTCCACTGTACTTTTGTCATTGCTATTTCAGTCACCAAAGTACTTGCAGTGATTACTGCTATTTATATCTGTAAACAAGCTCCTGATTTTTTCCATTATCCTTCTTCCAGCTCCTTGCTTGATTGCATACTGGAGACATACCTCTTGGCTTGGAGCTATCAGCTGTCCTCTCTGCAGACAAAAGGTAAAACCAATTAATCAATATATCAATTGGTTGCAATATATGTGTACACATACTGTATAAATCTAACACTGAATAGGTGATTCAGTTATTTTATCAGTTCCCTCACCCTCATTGAAGCTCATCAGTGCAGTGTAGTCCAGTCTTAACTGTGAATATTTTATTTTGTCCTTCCTTTCAGGTGACACCTCCAACCACTAGTGATGGAACAGAACTAGGTTGTATATATAGTCAGAGGGGTTCATTAGTTCCACATTTAGTATGGAAATAACCATACTATGAAACTTAGTAAATTCTTAAATTTAATCTGCTTTGACCTCTGGAGGGTTCTTCACAGATGTCTTTCTGTCGTTGTGCTTCAGGTGAGCCAGCTGTGTCATCTGTTCATTGAGAGTCATGCAGACAAGCAGGAACAGCAGGTGCTGCAAGACATCAGAGACTACAACAAGCGCTTCTCCGGGGTGCCACGCCGGGTAAATGTTCCTTCTTTCTCACAAGATTTCATTGTCATTACAACTGCCAGTAGTGTGAACCTACGTGTGTTTCAGGGTACGTACTGTAGGAGTGGAGTCTGGCATGTTTATACTCTTAAGGGTACAGTATCTGATTAAACCAAGATATTTAATAGTAGTATCCGTGTCTCAGCAATTCCTCTTGCTCAAATCTCACAATTGAGCATCTACATATTCTTCTCAGAGTTCCAGCACCACACAATTTATTAAATAGTGCAACGCAAAGTCCACCTCTAGAAATATCACAGACAAATATACAAAGTATATGCTAGTATTTACAAAGTCAAAGTTAAACTTACTTGGTTAACTGTTTAACTGTCTAACAACAGCAGTTAATCCTTGTACATTAGGCCTTCTCAAGAACCATAGATCAATCTTATTATGGTCACTGTCTAGAGTAATATTATACAGAATGATAAGAATTATCTCTTAGGAATGTAATATATATATATATTCAGTATAAACTGTGTATAGTTGTATGTGATATGGCTGTATATGTAATATAATTGTGATGCTATATAATTCAGATGCAATTGGTCAAGATGAAACATCAGTGATAGACAGACAGAGTGTCAGAGCAGAGTGGCTCAGTGCACTGATTCACCACTCTCCCTCTCTCTGTGTGTTGGTGTTGTTTCTTTTCCAGGTGACTGATTACCTGTATGACTTGCCCCTCTTCCTGCACTTGACGCTGCGTGGTCTCTGCACCATGGGTGGCCTAGTATGGGTCTTCTTCCTGAGGGTGGTCGTGTGCTGTTTCGGAGCACTCATGTCTCTAATATCCCCTTTGAAGGGCATCCCTGAGCCCTTCTGTGGGGTGTTGGGGGCCCTTGATGACCTGGTGGTGATCTTCTTGCTACTAATATGTGTCATTAACATCAACCAGCAGATCAGCCCAGAGAGAGGTGCTATTGCCCACAGTGCCGCACAGGGTGTTCTCTCTGACTCTCTGTAGTGCTGCTGTATAGGGGAAAACAACCGCACTACTGGACCACACTATTGGAAAACAAGTGATCCCTGCAGCCCAGAGCGATCAGTTGCAGTTCCACTGACTGCCACACTCAGTGCTGTTGCTCATATTATAAACTGTCTGGAGTCAGCAGGAAATACAAAAATAGGAATGGTTACAAATGAGAGGTGGCTCTCAGGCCTGTTTTATTTGTTTGTAGTAGCTTATTGATCCAACGTCACCATGAAGCAGCTTTCTGAAGGAACACACTGAATAAGCTCTACACCGTGGTAATGTTGTTTGTCCTGAATTTGGATATGTCTCTTGGGGCAACAGAGAAGAAATGAGGACTGAAGCGAGGCACTCTGCAGTAAATGGACCTGACTCAGAGTCTAGCTGTTTTACTCCACCAATTTGTTCTTAAAATGCAGAAAAAAGGTATTTCTCAGGTTGATGTTATTTCCTAAAATTTGTATTTGTTAAAAGTGACAAAACCAACCTGAAATGCACATTGAAAGGAAAAACAATTGAAGGAATAAAAAAACTCCCATTAACTGAGTTTCTGCTGCACACCAGCAATATAAAAAAAATCCATACACTATATACATGGGGGGGCGGTGCTGAAGTGGTCTGAGGTCCTTTGTTGGAATTGGTCCTTGGCTCTGTCTGTGAGGACTTTGCATGCTCTCCCCATGTCAATGTGAGTTTTTCTGGATGATCCAGTTTCACCCCACAGTCAAACGGTATTCTATTAAGGTTCACATACATCTCTAAATTACCCCCGATATGCAAGTGTAAGTGAATACAAGTGTGTGCGTCCTTCAATGGACTGCTTTGTCTGCTTTTGTGTCCTTTTCCTGTCAGGTTAGGCTCTGGTTCACCAGAACCTCTAAGGATAAATTGGTGACTGAAAATGGATGGTTGTACAAACATGGGTCTAAAGTGATTATTCATCAAAAGGGGGGGACTTTAAATTATTAATTAAGCATGCTTTATTTCAGTACTTCAGTACAATACAAAAACAGCACCAAAGGATGAGAGCTCTGAATTATGATCAAATAAATTCAATTACAACCCCAGAAATATTTGAACTTGTTCCTATGATGTATTTGATGGATTTGTAAACACAGCAATACCTGCCATGGTAACTGAAAACTGTAAATATTTAACCTGAAATGTTTTGTATATGTGTAAGCATCTGTACTGTATGTACAGTATAAAAGCTAGATGTTTATAAAGTTTACTCTGTGAATAAAAGTTTAAAATGTTGCATTAATGTAAATAAACTACAACTTGTATTTATTATTTCCACCTGTTGGCACTTTCTTTTGAGATTCTTTGAATATAATTCAGTGTAACTAGAGTGTTGCAAAGGGGGAAGACAAAGGGAAAGATTGATGTACTTGACTAAAATAATTATTTTATTATATTATTTGTTATTACATGGTTATATAATGGTTATAATACTGATATTTTATTTTGTTATGCAAAACAAATCATTAATTGATTAATTTGATAAAATATTTAGAGTGCTTTGGGATTCATTTTGAAATACCTATCACAATATTTTATTTCCAAAGAGAAAGGTGGAACCAATGTATTCTACATACAGCACACATTTCAAGTTCATATTTATGTATTACAGAACTACAACCAATATCACAGCTTTTTCACAGGAATGTCAGTATCACCATCATAGTACAATGTTATTTACTGTTTTCAAAGTATAATTTTCAAAGGAAGAAATGCAATGGTATCAAATACTGATTTGTGCAATTTAGACCTGGTAATTTTTCACCATTGTCGATCAGTTTGTAGTGATTACAGTATATAAAACACTTATATACCTTATACATGTACTGTAAGTGTGTTGACATATAGCAGGCCCAGAAAAGGTATTAATGAGTTGTCTATAATCCTACAGGTGCATCTTGCTCTCTGTTTCCTTGGTCAGTCATGCATGAGTGCATTGTACTCCCTCTGATGATCAACAAGCCTGAGAAACACTCTGTACTTCTTGGTATAGAAACTAGCAGGGACGGACAAGAAGAAAGACAAACATGCTTATGTTACTGTCGCTTTGTTTATCTTCACAAGAGTGGAAGTACAATCCTATTTAAGGGATTATATCTGTCTTTTTCTAAGGTAATTGCCTTTAAAAGCAATGGGCAGTTGTTGTCTACACATTAACAATAAATGTTATCTGTAGATGGCAGTATTTGCTTACAATACTGTACATGACTGTTAATTGTAGCCTGCTTTCACAAAAACAATTATTTTTCAACATTTATATATTACTAGCTGTAAAAGAGGACTGTGTACCTAGTATAATTGTATTATTAATTTAATAAAATATATAGACAGCATTTATTTACATTTTTCTTTTGCAAATATTGCTTATAATTTTGGCAATTAAGTTCAGTTTACCTAAAAACTCCTATGTCAGAAAAGATTAGTTGTATTATATTGTGGTTTTCCACATTTGTGAGGAGAGATAATAATAGAGAAAATAATCAAATCTATGTTGACAAAGAAAGATGCTCTCAGGGACATACATTTTTGTCTATTCTGACTACTGCAGAAACTTACGAAGATACTCACCTCTTCAGTTCAATGTTTGGTTGAACAACATTTCCAACTTTGGTCATTTTCTCCATTGCTTCCTGAAAAATGTAAGAACAGTAAATAAATATCAACCCAGATTTAGCAAAACATTAAACTATTAAATTATATTTATATAAACTATGAAATGCAACTCCTTTTCTGGAGTTTCAGAAATATCCTTGGGATCTTATAAAATTACTGTAGACCTTCATTCAGGTCACTGCCAAAAAATACTGGATTTATATTCTAAACCTACAGTGTCTCCAGGACTCTCCCTATGATCCTCATTAGGTAAGGTTTATCTGTTTTCTTAAGATGATTTTTGTTTTTATTTCAGTAGTATATGGTGGAAGACAAATGCAAAAAGTTAAGCCCATTGAAAAGGTTGTTTGTTCTTCTCTTACTCTTCCAAAAATAATCTGCATGGATAATCTGCAAGATAAAAGTCCTGCTGCGTCGTACAGTGCAAAAGTATGGTAAAATTAAGAAAAAAAACTGAAAAACCTGTCAAGGCCTCTCTACCACAGAACTTTGGAATTCAAAAGGACTGAGAAAATTGCTCTGAAATCCATGTAAGCTATTTCATCATTCCCCATCACCACTATTAATTACACTAATAACAGCTGTCTGCCCAAACACAGAGTGCAAAGTCTAATGTGTGACTGCATTTCTTCATATTGAAAATCACTAGGATAAAAATACTGAAGTAAACAAACCCAACCCAGGGAGTGTGCTGTACTGCAGGTACCCAACCACAGATGCCTGTGGGCGAGGGCTGGCAGGAAGCATGTATTCAGTGGCACCTTTTGCTTTAAATGGCATTCATAGCAGCAAAAAAACAACAATTTGGCTTTAACAAAAAGACACACACTCGACCATACAGTGCAAGAATATATACCAAGGAATACAGAGTAAAAACTGCTCTTGTGTTTGATGCAAACAATATGAGGATTTGGAATACACATTAAATAATAATAAACTTGATTTTATATAGCACCTTTAAAAGTGTCTGCTCAAAGCGCTTCACAAAAAGTAAACAATGCACAATGAGAGGAGACAGCAGAATTACAGTTACAATTAGGTTTAAGAATACAGTAAGAGAGCAAAGGGACAAACAAGGACTCATTTAAATGAGCCTTGATTTGAAAGAACTCAGGGAAGGTGACTCTGATAAATCTGTTGCTTTTCCCCTATGGCATGTCTATGTGCTGTATTTGACAAAAGCCTGTGAGAATACATACTGAAAGCAAGAACATGTCTATATTTTTCAAGCATTTAATCTGGCAATTGGCATTGTTAGTAGCATTCCAGTTTGGAATGTCTCAAATGCTGTCTACTACTGTCTCCTGCAGTAGTGTCTGAATACTACTGTTCATTGGACTAGAGTACTGATGTTATATATTGTCTTTAAATGATAATACCTATAGCCTATTAAATGGAGGGCTTAGGGCAGTTGTTGTGTTTTATAAGCATTAAACAAGTTGTTTATTTGTCATGAGACAAGGATTCCCTTTGGTCTCATGAGGTCTAGAGGTCTAGAATGAGACTGGAATGTCTTTGAATATTGGTTCAGCCTCTCCCTTCTTCAATGCCACATTGTCTTACAAAGCAGGAGTGGACGGGACTACACGAAATCCCATCCAAGAATAATAGTGCATAGCATTTGCACTGCAGCCTATAATTAGAGTATTATCCTTGGCCTGCAGGAGATGGCAAGAGACCTCACCACTTGACAAAGTCCAAAATAAATGTCTTTGATAGGACAGGTGCCAGCGCATGCCTCTGTTTTGTAGTGCTTCAGGGAGAACAACAAGAGCCAAAACTGTGCAGGGCAGAGTCACTATGTTCTTACTCACTCCTCTGCTTCTACTCCACTTTGAAGATGTATGATAACAGGGATAATAAGCATTCATGATTTCAGCTTTTGACATCAGTATTTTGCTTGCTTGTGAAGGTGTGAAGAAGTACAGCACAGTCTGTCATTATTAGGGTTGCTGTTACCTACTCTTTTCCATATTAAACTAGACTATTTCCCACAACACGAGACTATAAAAAGGTGAAAATGCATAAGTGGATTTACTGCACCATATATACAAATATACCAAATATACAACTTGATTCAAATGAGCTTTAATATATGAATCAATCCCATTACGTTGGACTTCAATAAGTCTTTATCATTAAAAAAGCAAGATGTACTGAAAAAAAATCAAATTGACATTATAGCATATACTGTAATACTGGGGATAAGTGGCCCAAACCCTACTCAAGTGATATACTGATTAAAGTTAATTCATTATTCAAATAAAAAGAAAGAGAGAGCATAAAATTCTGTTTTAAGCTGATCTGTAATTGTATTTCTGCAATACTCATCCCTCCCACTAGATGGCTGTATATTATAATCTGCATACTTTCAGCTTAGTGAGAACCAGTATATTACTGGAGATAGATACTTTATTGATCCCGTGAGGGAAATTGCAGTGTAGCAGCTTAACACAGACAACACAGCCACAGTTTAACGAATGATACAATAATAATAATACTATACATACAGTACAATCAGTGCAGTGAGGGGTGCATTAAAAGAGTTACTCACAGTCCAGGACACACAAAGAACAAACTAGAACAGAACAGTACGCAGAAAACCATATTGCACATATGAATATAAATATAGATATAAATATAAATATAAATGTATTGCACGGGTCCCTGGCATATATTGCACAATAATTTGTTGTAAATGGGAAAAGAAAAAGAACAAATGTAGCAGTAGATGTGTTCAGTCCAGAAACAGGTCACTGTCAATGTTGCCTCTGCCCAGACACAAGGTGGATGCATTGTACAGTCTTACGGCAGAAGGCAAAAATGACCTCCTGTAGTGCTCCCTGTCGCACCGTGGATGAATCATTCTATTGCTGAACGTGCTCTTCATTTCTACAAGCCTGTCATAGATGGGATGGGAGACGTTGTCCATGATGGCCTCTAGTTTGGACACCATTCTCCTCTCAGCCACTACCTCCAAGTGGTCCAGGTCAGACCCAATGACAGAGCTTGCTCTCCTGATGAGCTTGTTCAGCCTTTTAGAATCCACTGCTCTAATCCCAGGGCCCCAGCATACCACTGCGTAGAAAATGGCGCTCGCTACCACCGACTGATAGAACATATGTAGCATCTTACTACATACACTGAAGGACCTGAGCCACCTCAAGAAATAAAGTCGGCTCTGTCCCTTCTTAAAGATGGCCTCGATGTTCTTAGACCATTCCAGTCTATCGTCGATGTGCACTCCCAGGTACTTATACAAGTCCACCATCTCCACGCCACTCCCATGGATGTAGACAGGAGTAGGTTTGACCTTTTTCCTCCTGAAAATCAACCAGTTCCTTTGTCTTTGTTACATTCAGTTCCAAGTGGTTCTCCCCACACCACTCCACAAAGCTGCTGACCAGTCCTCTGTACTCCTTCTCCTGCCCACCCTTGATGCATCCCACAATTGCAGAGTCATCTGAGAACTTCTGCAGGTGACATGACTTTGAGTTGTACTTAAAGTCCGAAGTATAGAGGGTGAAGAGGAATGGAGAAAGAACCGTCCCCTAAGGAGTCCCTGTGTTACTCACTACCTGTTATATCATGAAAGATTGATACAGTACATACTGAAAAAAGCTGTAAGGAGCCTTCTGATTTACAGCATTCTATATCTCTTCAGACAGAGTGTAGCTGTACCTGATCCAAAACCAGTTGTATCTGCCTATTTTAAAATAAGATTTGAGTATCACTGCAGTGAGTTTATACTGGAATATGGTATTGCTACAGCTATTCTGAATCCTCATGTGTACATGTACCCGAAGACATCATATTTTCTGTAGACTAACAGAACTGCTTAGTTGAAAAACAGTGAAATTGGTCTCCCTCTACTTGCTGATTAGGTAGAACACCCTATGAAGAAAAATATAGGAGTATACCAGATTGTAACACAAATTACCTAACTGGTGAATTTAAACTGATTTCAATGCTGGAAAATGAATATCAAAATGAAATTTTAGTCTACACTCTGCACGATGTATTTCATAGAGAAAAGCTAATAAATTATAATTAATGTTTTTAAATAATGGCAGATTGCATTAGTCATGTCAAAAACCTTAAGTTATTAAAGTTTAAATTGCAGTTCATCTGGCATGTTTTATTTCAAGTTAAGAAGGAATACATGAAGGGAAAGGAATATAATTCTACATTTCTTATTTTTTAGTTTGGCTATTTTATTATTACAGCACAATGCAATTATGCTCTTATACAATTTTAATTACTCTAGGTGTTGTGATCAAAACAAAAAGAAGTGTTATTAGACCAACGATCTTTACATGTAAAAAACAGACACAAGGTTCCATCTAACACAAACATCTTATTAGTAACACGATAAGTATCCATCACTCTGGCCTGTTAACAGATGCAACTGGCGTTGTCTTGCTGGAACCCTCATGGATCAAACACATTCTGTGCATACCAAGCCAGAATGGCAACTGACAGGAAGCGTGAAGCGTTAAATGTGTGAAATGTGCCTGTGTTATTGTGGCGCAGGCAAGCTTCCTTGCAGGAGTTCCTTCTCCAAACACATGGAGATATCCAGCAGAGTTTTTTCTTGTTCTCTTTTTTCCAAGAGATTAATTGAAACTGATTTCAAAGGAGGCTTCTTGAGGGAGAAATGAAAAGCAAGCTGATTTATTTTAGCTTTTCACTAATAATTCCTAAAAAAACAAAAGAGATCTTCAAAATATGCAAATGTCATATTCAAAGGAATGCCACAGAACTGAATGGCGACATTTCTAAATGAACTTTGTTCTATGTTTTCCTGATACCTTATACTGAGTTTGAAGGCTTTCATCAAATACTGTAATTGTCCTTCAGTTTATTTTTAGAAAATATTTAATATTTTACTAAATACAGAATCATTATTGTTGTTATACCAACTTGATTCAGAATGATCAATTGTGTACTTTTTATGTTTCAGCTCACTGTTATGAGCCCCACTACCTGCACACAAAGTCCCTCCAACTAGCCAGAGTTTCATCTTTTTAACATGCCACAGGAAACAGCTACTACACATCAGCAACAGCACTGCATGCCTACAAGTATCTGGGAGACTGCAGGGATTACTGTGTCACTGAGACCCAAGAAAGCCCTGGACAACTAGCCTGCTTTATCCTTGGTGGCACTCAACTAGATCTTGACAGTGCTCAGGTGAGTGCCTTTAAAGGTTTAACCACTTGGTATGAATCTATCATGGCATTATCCTACAACCTTGCTGCAGACACTACTGATAAAATACCCCATATGTAGTGAATGTACACATCAACCCTGACATGACTACAAAGACCGACAGACATGCCAGTCTACTGTGTAAATATTCTGGTTAATGCAAGGTAGATTTCTGCCCTCTGCAGCCTGTCTAAAATCTGCTATGAGTCATCACTCAGTTCTATCCCCAGTGTAGGCCACACTGTAATCATATTGGAATACAGTGAGTGAGGCCTGTCACCAATCAGACGCACACAGCCTGCAGTGCCCACATTCTGCTGACAGAGAGTTTACTACTCTCTGATTTATTACTACTGTATTATCTGTCAAAACCAAGATGAATGCTACCCTAAAATGTACCCCACTACAGCATTATTTCTGTAATAAAACAAAGATCACATGAAAATGAATCTAGCTATCCTACTGAAAACAAGATACATCTAATGCATCTAATAACAATGCTCAAGCTTTAAATAAATACAATCATCATAACTAAGAAATAACACATGAGCTGCATCTGATCTCTTGAGCTTCACAAAATCATCATGTGACTACCACTTTAATTTTGGAGGGTATAGTGAGAATGGGGCAAAGATGTTTACAGTGAACAGCAGGCAGCACCAGGGATAAATGATAAACACTTTCTGGGAAGACATGAAAAAAACAATAAAGAGAGGAAAGCATTTTTCAGACAAAGCCATATGCTTATGTCTGATGTGTTAGTATTAACAAATGCAAAACTGATACAACAACAGTTACTTCCAATTTCATGCATGACTTGAATAATCTAATAACTAATGCTGAGAGACTTCACTACACAATCTTCATAATCGGTTCCTTTAAACACCTTCTACTAAAACAGACATTAAAATTCTCATTTTGTGCAGTTTTAGTTGGCTGAGAGTGCTGCTTGGCCAGGGCTGAGTCTATAACAGGCTGCTAGTCAGGGGTAAGGAGAGCAGATTTAAGAATCAGTGTTAGTGCCGACAGATGTCAGACTCCATGGCTTTTAGGATGATCCGTGGTAGCAGGAGGGGGCTGTAGTGTGGTGCTTATAATCGTAGTAACACAGGGCAAATGCAGGTTTTAAAACTGGACTCAGGCACTGAGAAGGGCAACAGATGGCAGCTGGTATCATATGTCAGTAAACAGGCAAAACACAGGGGAGCTTGGGGCTGCGAGCAATGAGTGGTGCCTCGGCGGAAACACAACAGCAATAATAAATGTTATTTTATATACCACCTTTAAAAATCAATTTACACTGACTCATCTCCCTTCCAAACACTAGCAGAACACCGATGAAAACTTACAATCCTATAATTATAATAATTTCATGCATGAATATTGTAGTGGTCGCCTCTTCCCCATCTGAAACCCTTGGGCTGGTGTGGCTGGCCCAGGAACTGGATGCTACAGTGCCTGATCTAGAAGGGAGGCGAAGGCAAACTGGTGGCAGAACCAGACATTTCCCTGGGTGCCTGGGGCTTGAGTAGCGAGTGAAAAGGATTTCACGCCAGAACACCTCAGGATACAGAGTAGTGCAGATATGTTCAGATTAAGTTCCTTAATTAATTTGGGCAAAGTCCTGTGTAAATAGTTAAAGTCAGTGAAACTCCTCAAACTAAAGGTTTTTCTGAGTCCTTTTCACATCCTCACACTATAATATGGCAACTTTCAACCCAACAGATCTCAAAATGCTTCACATACAGGAAGTGGCCAAGTGTATCCACTACTAAGGTTCAGTACCAACATCCCCGCTACACTAGAAGATCAGGTAGAGAGGTGAAAAGTTGCTTCACTGATTGAATTAAGGGGGCTCTTCAGAGAATCCAGTTTGTATAAATCCAGAGCGAAATTTAGCCAGGACTCTGGGATTAACACCCTTACTCTGTCAAAAAGTGCCATGTGATCTTCAAATTTTTTAAAACCTATTCAGGGCTCAGTTTAATGTGTCATCATAATAGGATTTTTTTCACCAACTACACCACTCTGTACTTTACTATGCTCTTCCCCTGATTTGTCTTATTTGTCTTACAATAAGTTATCTGTCATAAGGGCACAGTTAGGATGAGACACTTATCACGGGATTACTTAACTAGTTAACATGGCACTGAGTTATAGTACCCCTTATTTTCACTGATTACTATTGTAATTCCACAGCATCAGATAGAACAGCAATAGATAGATTAGTCTATCATATGATCAATGTAATAATTATTTAACTGATTATCTGATTAACTAATGTCAATTAGTTAGTACCCACGTGCTATTAAGTAGCTAGTTCAGTGCAGCTCAGACGTGTGGGAAGTGTAGGATGCTTTGAAGATGTAACGATGTCAGTTATTTAAATTCTACCCTGATGCCTTCTCTTAGGATCCCTGACAGTAGGATGGCTGCGACTCTGACACATTCATAGTGTCTTCATCTGCTACACTGCAGACATCAGGGGCAGCTGACGTCTGATCACAGACAGCAGATTCTTCTAAAAGAATAACTTAAACACCACAATAATTCACTGGGTAAAAATGCAGGAATAAATCATTTCACAACTTTAGTTTTGTATGTAATGCAATATTATTTAATGCTCATAGTAGTGAAATGCTAAGTAGTGATACTAAGCTAATACCACATAGGAAGAGTAGTCAGATAATGGAAAAACTCCATACAATACAATGCAGATCTCTTACTGTATTAAAAACTTCCTTCATTATGGTAACTGAACTGATTATCGATCAACAAAATGTGAAGGGCTGCTTCTAGGAAATCCCTGCAATGAAATTGATTAATAGGTCTAGTTCTTGACAGTAGTAACTACTTGTAGCAGACAAGTGTATTGGAAGAGCTGTCCATCTGTGCTGGGCTGCTCTGTACTATACCTGAAGTGAGCTACAATCATGGGAGGCACAGGCTCCAAGAATAGCTGCTCCTACCAGCACTGCCTCTGGTTCCTTGGGCAATACTACCGGCAAGCCTGGAGAGAGACACACCACACAATAAGTTATCGTGAGACTCAAAACAGCAAATTGTTGATCCTGGAGACCTGCAATAATGGAGGATAAAAGAACACGACAAAGGCAATTACAAACATAAAGTGCAAAAATTCAGGAGAGGCACAAGAGTTTGAAAAATAAACCCTGATAGACACAAACAGGAGAGAATGGCTTGGCCAGTCAGATACACTGAACTAGAAGCTTTAATTTCTCATGAAAGGATACCCACAGAAAAACATGCTGAAATTAATAATGGTTAACTTAAAAGTGTTAAAAGGGAGCTCATACTAAATATCGAATACTATAGCTGTGGCAGCATGCGTAGGCTACAAAGGAACAGGTAACGGGTTTATTCCATGCTGAAAAGAAAAGAAAGGAAACACGTTTAACATCTGAAGAAGGCTCCATGGCTGAAACTTTTTGTTTCCTTTCTTTTCTTTTCAGCATGGAATTAACCCGTTACCTGTTCCGTTGAATACTATGTAACAGCTTATATATACAGTAT